TCCTGTGTGAATTGCAGTCATACGACGCAAGTGTTCCGCATGCGCAGTAGAGGACGCAATGACATCACAGGCCAGCGAGCTCTGTGTTTTCGGAAGTAAACATGGAGGGTAGTGCCGGCGCGCATCTAGCGATCTTTCTAAACCATAAAAACAAAATCTTTTCAAGATGGTTTAACATAAATACTGCTCTCTGCATCATCATCTGCCATAGTTGTTGTTTTTCTTGCCACTTCTTCATAGCAAGAACCAGAATAGTGACTTTTGGCGGGTATTTATGGCATTCAGGTCAGATGAATGCGACCTTGCCGTTAAGACATAGGTCGCATTTGAAAAGAGCAGATTCGTATCCGGTTCAGGACCACATAGCCAAGTGGCCTGGATTGCATTGGAAAAAATCAGATCTGTGTTGTTCAGACTGCCATGAAAAGTTCAGATACAGGTTGCATATGGGCTAAAAAAAAAAGTAATCGGATTTGGGTCACTTCAGGCTGCAGTGTGAACGTAGCCTTACTCAATCACAAGTTAAAGGTGCTGGGTCAAAAATCTACTCAAGGTAAAGTACTGAAGTACGCAATTTTGAAAACAGTTAAGTATTCAAACATACAGCTTACATTTTCTAACATCATGTCAGGGTTTGGTTGAGGTTCTGGGGATCCAAATGCAGAGACAGGGAGGCCAAGGTGAGTTCTTAAAGATTTAATTGAATGTTCACAAGCAACTGAGGCAGGAATCCAAAAATCCAACAAAAAAATGTAAAACAAACCAGAACCATGGAGACATCAGGGAAAACAAGCACAAGGAGCCAGGAAAAGATGAAGAACCAGCACTGAGGAACTGCACAGGGAGAGTTTATATGGGAGACTGAACAATGACAGGACTAATGAGCTGATGATAATAGGGTAACGGATGACGATAAGAGCTGAAATTAATAATAATGTACTTTTTACATTCTCGTCAAATAGATCTTTTACCATGAAAAAGTATCATCATGGGGAAAAAAAGCAGTTATAATGTACTTTTGCCAACTGGGATGAGATTCCACACCTATTGGCAATATATTTTAGCTATCACAACCTTTCCGACCTCTCGCCCATTGACAGCTGGAGATAAACACCAGCACCCCTTGCAACCCCAGCAGGGATAAGTTTGACGGAAAATGGATGGCTTAATAGTCTTGTCCATTAAAAACATTCAACGCTGCAGATAGTTTTATACCTGGTTCGGACACAGCTGACTCCTGCTAACTTTTTTACAACTGATCTTAATACGAATTAGTAAATCCCATGATAAATAGTACTTGATTTTTTTTCTTTTTTAATTTTTGTTTACAGAAAAAGATATATTCATTCTAATTGAACGATTGTAACTGTGGTGGGGAAAAAAATCTAGCTCTCAATATTTCTATCCATTCATTTTCTGTCGCCTTATCCCTGCTGGAACCGTGGGGGGTGCTGGTGCTTATTTTCAGCTGTCTATGGGCAAGAGGCGGGGTACACCCTGTACAGGTCGCGAGTCCATCGCAGGGCAAACAACAGAAACTCACAGGAAAGCCAATTTGTCAGAAAATCTGGTTTTTGGACTGTGGTACCTGGAGAGAACCCACACATGCACAAGGAGAACATGCAGAAATACCCCAGGTTGGGAATCAAACCTGGATTCTTCTTGTTGCAAAGCAGCAGTTCTACCCACTGCTCTACTAAACAGTCCTCCATTAACTCTCTTCTACAATAGGCTTTACATGAGGATACATTTCTCCTTTACTTATATTGATTTATGAGTGCTGGGTTTCATTCATTCAAGCCGCAAGGCTGCAAGATATTTGTTGCTTATCCTATTAGGGATTGTTTTTGGATAAGAATAATGGTTTCATAACAAGCTAGACAGTTTTTTCAGGAATTTATTCTTAACATTATTTTTTGTTTCCAACTGTCTCTTTGGGTATCTGTATGTGGAGATCTTCACGGTTCTTTTGCAGGCTTTAATTTAGTGAAACAAATGCTGTCTATATCCAAACAGTGCAGAACATCATACTGTTATGGCTGTTATGATTGTCTTGTTCTCCTTTTACTTTGCAAAGTAACAAAAACAAAGGGCAGACTGAGTAAATTCATGGATCCCCGTTTATTCCCACAACACTTAAGTGGACAGTTTGATTTCACAGAAGTTTGATTTAACTGAAAATACAATGTGTTTTTTACATGCTCCCTTTTTTTTATTTTTTTGAGCAGTGTATGTATTTGAACCAAATTTACCTCCAAGACTCCTTTAATCAGTATTCTTCCTCAGCTCATTGTTTTCATTCTCTTCAGCTATGTCCACTATTCATCCTGCTTGCCTGCCTGTCAGGTAGATGGTTTTCATGCATCTTTACATGTCTGGTTTCTGTGTCTTTCATCCAAGTCCTTGTAATGAGTTATTTCATCATTTAATGATAAGTAAAAAAGTTAAAATGAAAAAAATCTCCTTTTCTTCTTTTTACTTGTTAATCATTATTTTTTTCTTCTTCTCACTGAGTTTTGGGATACTGGCTGGAGCTTTAAAATGCTATACATTCGAGTGCCTTTTTAAATCAAAGCTGGGGTGTAAAGTTCTTTACATTATGGCTCAGCTGAATTACTGAATTGCATCACGAACTAACCTGCTGAACCCTGATTTACCTCTAACTGACGTCAATCGTGTTATTAGCCCAATTTTGCAATAATGTAATTATAACAGATACCTGTCTGTTTCCTTGTTGCTGGATTTGTCTTGTCTATTTAGGAGTGGTCTGCTTTAACCCTGATTTAATAAGATTAGCCTTCACAGGAGCAACAGCTTGGCATAAATCCTCCGTTACTTGATGTCTTGGTCAGGACTGTACTCTTACCTCATATGCCTCGTATGCTGGAGTTTCAGCTCCTACTTGCACACAATTAGTCAGACCAGCACAAAAGTTGCAACAGACAGATTCACAATTTTCCAATCCTGTTTATCAGCTAAAATCCTTCCTCAGTTTATATTGTGGGAGAACCTTCAACTGCTAAATATGTCATGATAACCAATCAGCCCCCTTCGGCTATTCGTCCACCTTTACCACTTAAGTGTCACATTTGTCCCCCATTTGTCCCCCCCCCCCCCCCCCCCCCCTTCTATGGTGTATATATAATGGTGCAAAGTTGTATTAAATAATCTGAGGCTACTTTCCATACCCAAAAAAGTCAGGTATAAATAAAAATTAACTTAAAGGAAAAGATTGAAAAGATTGAAATTCACCAGAAATATATTAATTTGGTAGATTCATTGGTCAGCTTGAAGAGATTTTTGTGGATTGTTGGAGAAAGAAAAGGACAACAATCAGTAACCATGCAGACCCTAAAAACGTAGTTTGAATTTCAGTTGTTTGGGGCAAAAAAAAAAAAAGGTAAACCTACTCTAACTTTCTTCTTGTTTTGTTGGCGATAAGACTTTAATTTTATTAGTTTCCAATCATCTAATTTGTGAGTGACTCAGTGGGCCAGATAGGATTTGCTGGATATCTTGCTTGGACCTACAACCCTGCCACAATATTTGCCAACACTGTCAAAAACAATTGAATTGTTCTCAATTGAAGGTAACGAAAAGTTCAGCCTCAGAGTTTAAGATGATTAAATAATTATTGTTTTAAAGTGCCCTGGCTAAGAGATGAGTTTAATGGTGGCTTCTATCCTGACAGGTTATTTACACACAAGCCTTATCTGCTTCTCTGTCTAATTTCAGTAAATAAACCGCTAAAGCTACCTGCTAAACCCAGCCCACATCCGCTGATGTCAAAGGTGCATCACAAGTGGCCAAACTGTGTCATGGAGACACAGTTTAAAAAAAGAACAGACTGCAGCTACTGAGAGTACAGTTAAATTATTGTTATACCCTGTATTAACCTCCACAAACACTTCTAGTTGATAGTTTTTTTTCATCTTCAAAGCAGTAAATTCCTGTAAGTTCCTTCACCAGTGCTCTGGTGAAGGAAGGCATGTTGTAATGATTAGCTGATCTTGACTTGTCCTTTCTTAGGGTTCAATAAAAAACATTATTGGGAATCACTGGTATGACGTAATTTTAGTTAATCTTTACTATAACTGTGGCTAAGAGATAAAATATTGAAGTATGAAGTCTTTTTTCCCCTGTACATTTATTACAAACAGACTTATCCTGTTTGTCTATCTATCTTTCTGTCTGTCTGCCTGTCTATCTTTCTATCAGCACAAAAAAAAGATTGCTCAATACAACGAAAAAAAAATTGGTTGAATTTTACCAATCTGGCTGCTAGATATCCAAAGAATATTTTGGTTAGAACAACAAATCTAATTTGGTAGTGTATTTCACCAATCTATACTGGTTAAATGGCAAACCAAACAAATTGGCCACTTTAACCAAAGTATTGGTTGAGTACTATAGAAACTTTGAAAGACTGGAATTTAACACTACTGTACTTTAATACCAATGGTACAACCAAGCTAATACGGAGATTTGCATGCTCTACATGTACACATCATTGTAACTGTTCTCTAGGTCCATAACTATTACACACTACACCTGACTACAGCCAAACAGTCAGATTAGTAAACCATCAGTTGCCATTGTTTTAACCAATTGAATAGGTTGATCCAAAACCAATGGCTTGATAAGTTTCTGAACAAGCCATTGGTTGATATAACCAACTAGATTGACTATCTGTCTTTCTTTTTGGTTGTCCTTATTAAAAGGGATTGCTGCAATGCATCCTCTTTATTGAAATTATATTTGTGAATGGGGGGTGTTCTGCCTTCTGCCTACATTCCCAATACCAAATATTTAAGTGTCTGGAAAAGTTCAAGGGTTTTTAATACTTTTGAAGGGAACTATAAACCACGTATACTAAATCAGTGACAGACCTAAAACACTCAGGATACATTTGTCCTGAATGCATGCCTTATAGACTTAAAGAGTAGAAGTAAACTATCTAGGAATCATTTTAAAAATAGGAATCCACAAAAAACAATATATTAATTGAAACAGACATTTATCACATTTTAAAAAGATGAATCACATAAACACATTTATATAATAATTTTTAGAATAGCTTCTTCTATGTTTTTTAGGGTTGAAAAAGTCATATAAAGCTTCACATAAAAAAAAACAAAAATTTTCTGTAGACAAATTACCTTGTTGAACAGATGCACTGCAGAACCATAACTTGTTGTGCAAACAATAGTTGCACAATAGTCTAATTTGAATAGTAAAATTAGCCTGGGTGAGGAGCCTGAACTGACATTAGGATTTACATGAGGATACATTTCTCCTCAGCTGTCTGCCTTAGCTCAGTCACTTTGCTCTGGGCTGTGGTCTTCAGTGCATCCAAGTCCATGTTTTGAATCTTGTTGAGGAAAGAATCATTGGCCTCCTCTTCCTCCTCATCTTCATCAACCATTTTGGCCAGTTCCTCTGGGAGATCGACATCATCCCCAGCCATCTGAATCATTGCACTGTCTTGAGCGCTCTGTTAAAATCATGGAGAAAACATAATATCTTAATAAATGTATTATATGTCATTTAAAATATTTATTTATTTAAACATTTAACCCAGCACTAAGTAATCTTTCCACCTTCATTAAATATTTTCATAACTTTTGTGATTATACCTTGACTCACAACTAGTTGAATAACACCTCTGACATGGCCTGAGGGGGTCTGTATTGTTTTCACTGGCACAAAGAAACTTTGAGGAGGGGGTCAGTAACCCTGGCACACAAAACATCTACAAATGTTTACACTGCTTTACAGCATTTACATCACTATCCCCTTTCCTCATTTGTTATGGAAATGGAAGCTGATGTGACTAAGTTACCCAGAGAAGGTGTATATTTGTGCAGGATTGATATTCAGGCAATGAAGCGCCTTTTTGCAGGGCTTTACACTCTGTTTCCTTTGTAGTTATCAAACAAAACGAGTGAGGGTGTGCGAGTTTAAACAATGCACATTGTTCTTACTGCTCAATCAGCTCGGTGGCATCAAAATTACACCAAAGATGTTGAGCAAAAGAAGATGAAATGCAAAGTTTGTCTAAAAACTGTCGGGACTACCCAAAGAAACACATCCAACCTCCACCACCTACAGCACAACCATGCTGTTCAATTCAAAGATGTGCAAAAGGCTCCAATACCTTTGTGCAAATATGTTTGGAAGAGAGGTAACATTTTTCTGCTGTTTAATGAGACATTAGCCCCATTTACACTACCCCTCTGAAACCAATCCGAGCTTGGATCAGTTAACCATGCCGAGCTTGGTTCCTTACGACCGTTTATACATTGTGCTGCTAGCACTGTTCCCCGCCTCCTAGTGGCGATCTACGGTACTTGCTTTCATTTTAGGCTTAGTTTATAGCACTTTCTTAGTGTTAAAGGTGAGTTCCCCTAATGCACATGCATATTCAGAATGACTGATTGCCAAATGCAATCAAGTCTAAACTCTCACTTCATTTATCCAGAAAGAGTAAATGCTAAAAGTCTCAGAATTAATGCAGTTGGGTGAGTTTTTATTTAGAAGGAAATCTTTTTATCGATTTTTATCAAAAAATTAACCTAACTGTATAATTGGATTAAATTGACTGTACAATTATTTGTATGAATTTTATATCTTTTTGTTTATTTTGGAAATTGCCCTGACTCTACTATTTGCTGTGAATTGGTTCTACATCAATTCAGTGGCGCTTCAGTGGGGATAGAGACTGACATTTTTTCGGGAATCCCACGGGTCACGGGATTCCCGTGGGACTCCTGTGGGATGGGAGTCAGTATTAGTAACGTTCACGTGATTGGGACGGTACAGGATTAAACATTAACGGGAGGAGACGGGAGCGGGAGCAAAGCAATAATAACTAAAAAAAAAACTAGGATCAGTGCCAAAAAATAAAATAAGATAGAAAGAAAAAAAATCCAGTACTGGCATCGCCATTTTGTAGTTTTTTTTCCTTGAAGCCTAAACTATAATGCGAGTCAAAAAAAACTACACGACCCAAAAACCAACAGTGCTTCCGCTCTGAGTTTTTCACCCGCGCTCAAAAAAAAACAAACAAGAATGGGAGCGGGATGGGAGTGGGAGTAATTTCACCAGGAGTGGGTACAGGATTTAGATTTCTACTCTGGCCCGGGATCGGGACAGGACACAATTTTTTTCTGTGGGATTGGGACAGGAGTGAAAATCCACTCCCGTGTCAGTCTCTAAGTGGGGCTGCTCAGTGGCGCAGTGGTTAGCACTGTTGCCTTGCAGCAAGAAGGTTCTTGGTTCGATTCGTGGCCCGGGGTCTTTCTGTATGGAGTTTGCATGTTCTCCCTGAGCATGTGTGGGTTCTCTCCAGGCTTCCTCCCACAGTCCAAAAACATGACTGTTAGGTTAATTGGCTTAGGTATGAGTGTGTGAATGGTTGTATGTCCTGTTTGTCTCTGTGTTGCCCTGTGATGGACTGGTGACCTATCCAGGGTGTACCTGCCTCTTGCCCATTGACTGCTGGAGATAGGCACCAGCACCCCTTGAGACCCCAATTGGGAGAAGCCTGTCAGATAATGGATGGTTCTACATCAATAAACCGAGCATCTTGAACAGAGACAGTGACTCCTTCCAGAACAATTATAGATGGCAGCGTACATTCTGTACAGGTCATCTGTTCATAAACATGCATCACAAAGATATATGTTGCTATAAATCAGTGCATAAGCCTTACATACTTTCCAGAACTTGCAAGTAGCTATTTTGTCATAAACAGCCAAGGATGAGCAATAATTGATATCAAATTATTTTTATTTGAAATTCTGATATTTACAATTAAGGAGACATAGAATGATTAGAGTTGTACTTACATCAGGTAGACGGTATTTATCTCTGAGTGCAACTCTCAGGTTTGCCCTCTCAGCCTTCTTGGTTGCAAAGTCTTTGTCTCGCTCAATCCTGCAGAACACAAACACGTCCGATAAGACTGCAAAGTTGGCTCATAGAAAGAATAATATTTACATAGACAAAACTTACGTACAGCAACCTCCCATACTCTGGCATTCAGTCATAGTATTGTTTTACTGGTATTACAGCCGAAGGGCATGGTATTAAAAGGTTAAAGGAGCAGGTGGCAAAGAGCAAAGCCTTTTGTAACTTGGTGTCTCAGCACCAGCAGCATCACCCCATTATATGGTTTCTGCACATACATCCTATCTGAGTTGATTTGGCTATTCTGCTTCCATTTTTTTGGGCACATCAAAAAGTGGAAGGGATTGTTTTTGCCCTTTTTTTCATATAAAGTATCTAAAGCTCAGTCAAATTGGAGGGAAGCCATCTATGGACGTTGGTTTCCAGGTCTTGCCACAGATTCTTGATAAGGTGTTGGTTTTTGATTACTTAAAGACATGAATTTTCTTTGATGTATGGATTTAATTTAGTCCATGGTGACATTTTTAAGTTTGTTTTGCTGGAAGGTCCATCCAGCCTCCAGTCTTTACACTTTTGGCATTTATCTAATCATATTTAGTTACTTTTACACATTTGTTTCATGTCAGCAGGGTTGAATTGATTATTCGCTGCTTTTTACATTTTAAAACTGCAACAAGAAAGTCTTTTGTATTCACAGATTAAGTAAAATATTATATTTTTATTATTAAAAAAATACCTGAAAACAAGTGTTTTTTTCAGCTCAGGCATTGAAGCTTACTTTTTTAAACATTATTGTACAACAAATAAGTACATTTTAAAAATGGCTATACCACAATATAAGTTCACTGTTTGTTATTGCCAAGTGTTTTCTAGTTTCATTATTATTATCTTTGGAGGGGAAGGGGTGGCCATGATCACCCTAAGCCAGGGATGTCAAACTGGTTCCAGAAAGGGCCATGTGGCTGCAGGTTTTCTTTCCAACCAAGCAATAGCACACCAGACTCCAGTCATCTTGTCAAGGTGGTCCAATCTCAACATGATGACTTGATGATATGAATGGAGTCTGATGTGCTATTGTTCAGTTGGAAAGAAAACCTGCAGCACTTTCTGGAATCAGTTTAACACCTGTGCCCTAAGCCAACCATTGGCCACCCTATCAGGGGATTTGTTGGACGTAATTCACCACCTCTGGTTCCCCTCTTAGACAGAGGGTGGAAGCAGGAATACTCTGAAGTAGAATGTCTCAACTGATTTGGCATTTTAATTATAAGTATAATACAAATAAATGAAAAACAAAAATACAGTAATTATTCAATTATAAGTTTGTTTTCAGCCACCGGTCAGTGCAAACGGGTCCCTGGATGGCCAAACCTGGCCACTGCGTCATTGTTTATATTCTTTGTATTGAAATCTATTAATTGTTTTGGGATGTAGTTGAAAATATTCATGTATATATTTGAATCAAGTTTTCCTCCCAATCCTCCTTTCCTTCTCACCTCATTGTTTTTATCCTCCTCAGCTGTGTCCACTCATCTCCTGTCTGTCTGTTTGTCTGTCTGTCTGTCTGTCTGTCTGTCTGTCTGTCTGTCTGTCTGTCTGTCTGTCTGTCTGTCTGTCTGGTAATTGGTTTTCATGCATCTTTAGATGCCTGGTTTCTGTATCTTTCTTCCAATTCCTTGTAATGAGTAATGTTAGAACTTTATTTAGCCAAAGCTCTTTATTTAGCTAAAGCTCAGTGCTTTTAGGTTCTCCTTAAATTTAAATCAATGATAATTAAATGTCAGGGTGTAAAACTCTTTTTCACTCTTTTTACCATTATATTTATCCTCTTCTTACTGATTGTTGGGATACTGACTGGAGCTTTAAATGTACAGACGTATGCCTTTTTAAAGCAAAGCTGGTGTGCAAAGTACTTTACACTACGTCTCAGCTGAATTGCTCTAAGTTAAACCATCACGAACTAACCTGCTGAACTCAGATTTACCTCTAACTGACGTCAATCGTGTTATTAGCCCAATTTTGCAATAATGTAATTATAACAGATACCTGTCTGTTTCCTTGTTGCTGGATTTGTCTTGTCTATTTAGGAGTGGTCTGCTCTAACCCTGATTTAATAAGATTAGCCTTCACAGGAGCAACAGCTTGGCATAAATCCTCCGTTACTTGATGTCTTGGTCAGGACTGTACTCTTTTCTCATATGTTTCGTATGCTGGAGTTTCAGCTCCTACTCGCACACATTTAGTCAGACCAGCACAAAAGTTGCAACAGACAGATTCACACTTTTACAATCCTGTTTATCAGCTAAAATCCTTCCACAATTTATATTGTGGGAGAACCTTCAACTGCTAAATATTTCATCATAACCAATCAGCCCTTCGGCTATTCGTCCATCCTTCATCTTTACCACTTAGATTTCATATTTGTCCCCATTTTCCCCCCTGACCTTACAAATGAGTTCATTTTTGTTTTTTTATGTATATATATTTATGTAGATAGTTGAAATTTATTATATTTTCCACATAGCATACACTTTTACATCCTATTTCAAATGAGTGTGATTCTGATATCACATACAGAACAGTTTAATTTGATAAAATATAACAAGTCATGTTGGGTATGAGCAAAATAAACCTTATAAAAATGTAAAACATAGCTTACACGGTGTATATAAAATATAAGATATATATGAAATAATCTGAGGCTACTTTTCATACCCAAACAAGTCAGGTATATATAAGATTAACTTTGAAAGCCTAAAGGAAAAGAGTGAAAGTGACCAGAACTATATATATTCCATTGGTCAGTTTGAAGAGATTTTTGTGGATTGTTGGAAAAAGAAAGAAAAGGACAGCAATCAGTAACCATGCAGACCCTGAAAAAAGTAGCATGAATTTCAGTTGTTTGAGGCACAAAAAAAGGTAAACCTAGTCTAATTTTCTTCTTAAGTTGTTGGCGATAAGACTTTAATTTTATTACAAGTTTCCCGTCATCTAATTTGTAAGTGACTCAAAAGGTGAGATAGGATTTGCTAGATATCTTGCTTGGACCTGCAACCCTGCCACAATATTTGTCAAAAACAATTAAATTGTTCCCAATTGAAGGTAACGAAAAGTTCAGCCTCAGAGTTTAAGATGATTAAATAATTATTGTTTTAAAGTGCCCTGGCTAAGAGATGAGTTTAATGGTGGCTTCTATCCTGACAGGTTATTTACACACAAGCCTTATCTGCTTCTCTGTCTAATTTCAGTAAATAAACCGCTAAAGCTACCTGCTAAACCCAGCCCACATCCGCTGATGTCAAAGGTGCATCACAAGTGGCCAAACTGTGTCATGGAGACACAGTTTAAAAAAAGAACAGACTGCAGCTACTGAGAGTACATCCACATTCAAGCAGTCATTGAGAAACACGAATGTTTTAAAGTATTCAAACAAACAAAAAAGCAGCCATTAAAATGTCCTATTAAAATGACCTAAGCTGAGTCCTGAACAATATAAAGAATTTTCACTACTTTGAAATGTCCTGACTGATTAATGCCAAGCTAGATGTTATTTTAGATGAGTCCAACGTGCAATCAAGGTTTAGCTTTAAAATAATCCAAATTTGTGTAACATAAAGTTATTCTTTTTGTTTTCCTCAGTTATCTACTATTCTTTGCAGCTGCAGCCAATCCTTCAATTTGGAAACAAAACAATCCTCTGAAGGGGATTTGTAAAGAGGGAAAGCTCAGACAAGATTCTCTAGATATCCTGATTCGTCCTGTGAAGACTGCCACATCATTTGCCAACACTGGCAACAAAGTGTTCAGCCTCATATGTAAATTAATGAAATAATTATTGTTCAGAGGCAATTTATAACCTGGCATGTCACCTGCCTCTATTTAATTTGAGCCCCAAGGAAAATAAATCCCCTCCTAAAGCTAACAGCTGATTTTTCTTTGAACTTGTGCCACATTTTTTCTAATCTTATCTCTTATCTAAGTTATTAGGTTAATAATGGTATTATTTTAACAAAAAGAAAATTAGAATAATACCTCAACATCAGCTTGTACTGCTAATATTGCTTTGCACTGAAATAAATGACAGGTTTTCATATTTTTTAGACTCAACAGGATTGCTTTAAAGTAAGCTGTGACACCATTCCCAGAAACCAGCCAGGTGAAACTGAGACTGAGAAGTTCCCTTTGCTGAGGAGCAGCAAGGTGTTAAAAGTAGGAGAAATCAAACCTCCGTTGTTTTAAATTAAATAATTTGATGGCTAATGCACTCCTTCTCCGGTGTACATTCCAAGTTGGATTTTGAAAAACCATGAGAAAAATAAGAAAATAGCAAAAGAAGCTAAATGAAGCTCCATACTGTGAACTATATTCAGTTTTCCAGTCTGAAGCAGCTGGACCAGATCAAATCTTCCCATCCATCTTTTTTCCACTGTGCTGATCAGCTGTCTCTGGTTTTCACATACATTTGTATCACCTTATGGGAGACATGCCATGTTCCACTCTGGTTCATAGCCCCCTCCATAATAACCCCCGTTCCCCAAAAAACAAACAAGGGCCACAGGACTACATTGCCTTAGACATATTGCCCTGAACCCAGAAGCAATGAAGTCCTTTGGACTCCTTGTGCTGACCTGAATTCACTACAGGCCCTTTTCTGGTTCTGCTGTAGTTTGCCTATAGAGCAATAAGGTCTGTAGATGTAAATAAACTCCAGGAATCTATGCCAGGAACATGTTTGTAGACTTCAGCCGTGCCTTCAGCACCATAAACCTAGCCCTGTTGCAAGACAAGTTCACGCTGGCAAGCATGCCTGACTCCACCTGCAGAGGAATCACAGACTTTAAAAACAGACTGTTGCAGCATATGTAGCTAGTAATATGGGGCCCCGGTTCCTTGACCATCATCTCCACTTATCCACAAGTTATTTCCCATCTACTGTTTTTCCTGTTGACCAAAAAGCAGAGGGGAAAGAACCCCCCTGGGCCATCTTTGAGTCCATCCTCTCATTCTCCAGACTTAGACTTTTATTGTCATTCTGTCAGCAGTGTACTATCACCATCTGGTACACTACTGCCACCACCAGGGACAAAGAAAGGCTGCAGTGTATATTCTGCTCTGCAAAGAGGGTGATCGATTAAAATCTTCCTTCTTTTGAGGAACTGTACTCCTCCAGAATAATACAAATGATAATACAAAATAGATAATTACTTGTTATTTACACATTTGTTGTGTGTTAACCATCACAGCAAATGAGTCTGTATTGTTATTAAGGTGTTTAGCAGCAGCGTTGTTATTACATGTTTACCTGATATTTTTCAGCAAAAAAATTTAGATATTACTCATGATTCTTATCAGTTATCAACTTGTGTTTACTCTGCAGAAACAATATATTTTATTGTTTGCTCCTTAAAAAAATTACTTTTTGGCATTATGAGGAACGTTTTTTTAATCATGCTTGTTTACAAAATTGTATTGTTGGAAAAGAAGATGCACCCCTGACTTTAAGATAATGTGGAAAAAGTGTTGTATTCATATATAAATTTGTCTTTGTAAGAATCATAGTACAAACCTTTGCCACATGCCATATCAATGTCATAAAGCAGGAAATAAATGCTATGGATTCATACAGTGTAGTTTCTCCCAGGCTTCCTTTTAAACATTTTTCAGAAAAAAATGGAAGAGATGCATATTTTATGTTCATCACAAAGCTTGCATTCAATTTTATAATATATCTGTGAAGATTCTCAGTCATCCAGGTCATGGTCATGCTTGAAAAAGTTCAGCCTAGGCAACTGGATGTGAAGTTTTCTAGAAGATGTTTCACTTCCCATCCAAGAGGCTTCTTAGGTGTTTATAACATACAGAAGTTTGTTTGTTCTAAAATGATTTTAGCTGATGAAGGCGTTTATATTTTTCATTAAAATATGTTATGTTGACAAGTTTTAAAATGATAAAATATTTATGCAACATGTATTTTTTAATTATGCTAAAAGTGCTTTCCCCCCTCAAAATCCGCTTTTCAATTACTTGCATTTTTGTTTGATCAAGTTTTGGTATAAACAAATTGGTAACAAAAGCATTTTTTTTTACTTACTTTTCTTCCACCAGCTGCTTCTGGTATTCTTCAAACTCCTCCCTGGACATGCCTTTGGACTCGGCCGTTTCTTTACCACCTGCTCCAGCCTTTCCGTCACCTTCACCAGCTCCATCAGAAAACCCCTTTAACTTACTGCCCAACATTTGATTCATAAGAAATGCCATAGCTGTTTAAAAAGGTTGTTGAGTCTAACTTGGAATGACTTGAGGAGAGAAAAGAAAAGTTTATGGCAAATTAATTTCTCAATATTTTCTCATTGATAATGTATCTAAAAGAGTTGCCCAGTATGTAAACACCCCACTTGAAACCTTGTCTATAGTGTATCATGATGATTAGGGTGTATCAATAACTTGCTGCTCAAGTAAAACCGATAAAGAGCTTATCTCATATCTAAACAGTGTAACAGATGGTCTAGAGCCACAGAGCCACATACTTGCTGGTCGTGAACGCTGTCACAGTTGTTGTTGTCATAACCAAGCTACCTTATGGAGAATAATTATGTTAGAGACACATAACTACATAGATGTCATAGTGATGAAGAAACATTTTTGGATTGATTAAATAATGAGTCTATATTTTCATTTTGTTGAAGGTATTGTGTGCAGTAAGCTTGATAAACATTAAGCCCTTACTTTAGAAGACGAAACTGGCTCTGTTTATCTGTGTCATTTCTGTTCATTTAAATTTTACTCTGCATTTTCCTGGGTGTGTCTGCAGAGAACAATCTTCTATTTCCTTAATTACTCTTTTGTGGTTACATTTAGACACACCAGCTCTAGTTCAGACACAAGGAGAAATTCCCAAATATATGTCATTATGAAATCAGAAACAAGAAAATCTTAAAAATGGAGAAAGGCCACAATATTTTGCATCAACTCCTGTTGCAGCTTCTAAAAAAAAAAGGATAAATGTAACGTAACGGCATGTAATGACATGCCGTTACATTTATTCTTTATTAAAACATGAATAATCCAGATGGAATGGTAAATATCCTTTTCCCTTTTTTATTGCTGTGAAACATCATATGAAATATATGAAAATTAAAAAGATATACATGCATATGCAGCAAAATTAGAACAGTGTCTAACTTTGTAGTGTTACTAAAAACAAATAATACTAATATTTTGGTGTAAATATCTAAAAGAATACTATATAATAATAAATATATACTATGCCTCATATTTTGAAACTTCTCTAAGTGCATTGAATTGAAAACATACAAACAAAAATGCTGTAAGGTAATATTATGATGCATACATTTAGAAAACTGAACAGAAAATAGATATCATCACATTAAAATATTCAAAAATTGTATCAAAGATTTTAGTATGATAATCAAACATATATGGTGCAAATATTGTGCAGAACATCAGGTTAATTAATTTAAATTTACTTTGTTTATATACCGTAGCACATATTCAATTTCAAGGCACTTTACAGAGACAATTCAACTATATCATACAGTAAGGCTGGTAAAAATAGCTGCCAGAACATTTTGCTAAAACTTAGTTTTAGCTTCCTGTTATATATTGGTTAAATCGTCAAAAGCAGTTGATCTGCTGTGCACTGGTACGATGAGCATTTAGTAACATGCATTTTGCCACTATTAGATCAGTAAATGCTTCATATCTATATTATTATTATTATTTCCTATGTCAAATTTTAATTCATAGCTCCAGAGCATTAAAATCCCTGAAAAGAGCCTCATTTAAAGGCAGCTATTGGGAATTTATTATCGCATACTACCAGTGATCGTTAAGATGTAATTACCGTACCAATGTAATAAATACATGTATATTACATGCACGTAATCAATTTAGCACTTTGCCACATCTGTATTATTGTGCTCCATTAACACATACATTTTATAGCGATTGATTTGTATAATATGTTGTATTACATGATTTAAAGACTTCATAATGACTATGCAATGTGATGTGGCTATTTTTTTATTATAGGTTAAAGTAAACAGCAAGTGTGTGTCAAAGTGATGAATTTATCTTTATTTTAAAAGTCTTAAGTCACCATGAAAATGAGAATATCATATCGTTGTTCGATGCTGTAGCGCACATATTTTTTTACATTGTGACTGGTCTAACAAGGGAGTACCAATATGGCGGACGGTGGCTTTTCTTCAACCCCATAATACCATCGGGCAATCAGCAATCGTGAATAAATAGAGATCAGTGCTTGAAGAGCGTTTTCTTCCACCTTTAAGACTGTCAATCATGATTCCACGCCCCTCTCATATGTAACCACGCCCCTTGCACAAATGCGGGGCTAAAAAGTGAAACAAAAAAATATTTGACAAAATACAAAGATTATAATTCCGAAAACATAAAAACTGAACTGAAAACAATTAGTCCTCAAATATAAAATATTGAAAAGGTAAAGATAAAAAGCATATTTTCTTCAAAATTATTCCAGAATCGAATCAGTATTTATTCTAAACTGTGAAAAAAACTTTGAATTTTTATTTTTATTTTGAATGGTTGTGTTTGTCAACTTTCATACAAAACATTCAGTTTTCAAATTTTAGTTTTTCAATTAAAATGTATTTCTTTTTATTTAAAAAAACTAATATTTTGGCCGCAATTTAGCACCATATACTAAAGCGTAAATTCCGTCATTTTCTGAAACCTGACATTTGTGCCAACTAAGTATATATATAAACGATAATTTTTTCATTTTATTTTGTAAAGCAAGTCGGACGGTAGCCCAGAAGGCTCAGTTTAGCCGATTTGCACTTCCGCGTTGTTAGAAATCAAGACGAACAGGCGAGTTTCGACACTTAAAATACTCTAAGCAGGTATGATTACTGTTTCTTGTTTTAACATGTATTTAAACACTGTAACGCATTTCTAACATTAGATAGTAACTAAGCAGTTATTCTAGTTTTGACTTTAATAGAGTGTCTCAGATATTACAGAACACATAGCATGCTAACATTAGCACAGTGACTTCTACATTTTGAAATGAGGCGATTAATTCACTGAGTGAGTGAACTTTACTCTTTGATAAGATCATGGATGACTTTTGACACCTTGTTCGCTTTAAAGCAGAATGATCAGCCTGCTGTTGCTCAGTGTTTTTCTGTGTTTTATTTGACAGCAGCATCCCAGCATCCAGGCTGGAAAACAAAGCAAGACGAAGGTGTAATGTCAGCTGAACTCCCCTCCCTGAGCTGCTGATCATCTGATCATCCATCATGTCTCTGGGAGACAACCCTCATCTCCTCCTGGGCAGGATCCGCTTCTTGAACAAGTGCATAGAGAGTTTTAGGAAGAGTGAACCAGTCCCAGAGAGTCTGTGTTATGTTCCCAAAGAGGTCTGCTACAAAATATGCAAGGATTCATCATCCAGCTCCTCTGCCTCTGCTGGAGCCTCTCCAGGAGGATCAACTGTGGGTAAAACCCTCCTGTCTATATTTGAAAGTCCTCATCAGGTCCCTCACTGTAAGAAGTCATGCAAGTACAGCATTGAGCCGAAGAAAGGGACCTGCATCAGGACCACAGGGGAGGAGTACTGCAACAGCCAGGGTCTCTGGGTCAAAATGAACAAGGTGAGCTCATCAATCAGTCATTCCTCCACCCTCATGCTGCTTTTCAAGTCGACCCATCTTCTCAAGAATAAAGTAATGGGCTCTGCTCCATGTATTTTTCTAGCTTTTTTTAATTGAATTTAAAATATTTTACCTCTTAGATAGAAATAATAAAGAATAGAACAACATACCATCCTCATCATATTCACATTTATTTTTCCCAGATTTATTTTTGCTCTTTAGAGCCATGTCTCCTAATTTACCCATGACATAAAGTAAAATAAAGTAGATCTCTATGTGTCTGTGTATATCTGCAAATATGAAGTACATTTGTTGCACATGTTGTTGTAGTTTACAATTGATAGTGCTACTTAATCTCGGGCTACGCTGTGCAGAAGCTCTGTTTGCACAGGTAGGTATTCCTTAGCTTTAGCATGCAAAATGTCGGCATGTTTTCTAATGTTTTTTTATTCAGTAAGGACAGTCATAGATTATGTAAAAAGCATTGAGCATTTAGCCCAATAGTCAGGTGGTTAAAAATGGGGGTAAAAAGGAAGATTATTCTTTAACATAGTGTGAAAATGGATTTACTCTTGTCTTGAGTCGCAGCACACTGTATATTTTGGGCCTGTTGTACAAATCCAAGTATTATACAGACTTTATATACTTGTCCAGCCTTATTGATCAGAAAATCTGCTTCATTACTTTAAAGTGTAGACTTAGCTAAAGCGTATTTTAAAATAACAAACTGTAACAGTAGCTTTGTTGTCTAAAGACTGGTGGTAAAAATGACTTAAAACCCTTTTTCTCAACCTGTGGCTAAAATATTATTGGTGATCTGTGTGTCCACAATTTAGTTTCAATCATTAATAAAGTAGAACAAGATAACTATCACTGTAATATTTTGCAGGTAGGGCAAAGTCCAACTGGCTGATATTACTGTGGAATGCAAGTTTCATATATATTAGCCATCAATTCTGGCACTCCACTTCTGTTTGCAGTCTGAGTATTGCATACACTACAATACTATAATGATGTTATTGTTGTATATTATTTTTTTTTTGTTCCTGCTTGTTATTCTTACCTATGACTTAAAAATACTTGCTTACATCTACACAGGTCCTCTCAAGCTCAGCTCCAGATATAAACAGCTATTTCTATGCAGGAGTGAATACTGTTGGCAAAAGTAGAGATTTTTAGAGAAGTAAAATTAGTGAAAACCTAATGAGAATATTTTTGAATAGTTTTCTTTCTGGAGATTAATTATTTTATTTACTTTTAAATAAGTTTTAGAATGCTTTTCTTATTTTTTTTTTTTTTTTTTGAAGAGCATCCCTCCAAGTATTTTTTTATACCTGCTGTATCAAACCAGTTTCTCTTGAAAATGAGATCTTGGAAATCATTTAGATTACTTGTACATATAGAAAATAAGCAGAATATTTTCCTTTTTTGTGGTATTTCATGGTTTGTTCATTTTTTCTGTAATTCATAATCAGATGTTGCTGGCACAGTCACTGTTAGTGAGGGGTGGATGAGGTATCATGAAGAATTAGTCTAGACTGTAGAATTAGACTAAATACTGACACCTGCTGGACGTTAAAAATCCCTACATGCAGCCTATCTGACAACTGATATGATGACTTAACATAATTTAAAGGGATAGTTCGGTATTTTTGACATGAATCTGTATGGCATCCCCATCACCAGTGTCATGCAATCACACTGACTTACCCCTGGCAGCGTCCTGTGAGCAGAGTTCTCGTCCAGTTTTGGTCAAGCCGAAAGTAGTCC